GGGGCTGCGGCCGCCCACCTCCCACCCACCATTCCCTGGGGGTCTCTTCCACTTGAGCTGGAGGTTGAGGCTGCGCGAGTTGTTGATCACGGCCGTGTCCAGCAGGTCGTAGACGGCATAGGTCTTCCGGGTGCCCAGGACGACGTCCTGGTACGTGGTGAGCGGGGGCGGGTACACCTCCAATGTCTCATTGTCCTGGGGACACAACGGCAGGGCTGAGAAGCGAGCGGAGGGGCAGGCTGGCCTTGGGGGCTGCGGGGGGGGGGGGGCGATGTGTGTGGCTGGAGGCCTTAGTCTTAGTACCTGGCTATAGTTGGTGACGTCCACATAGACTCGGCTCTCCGAAGCCAGGGGGCAGGGTTCTGTGAGGGTTCGGGAGAACATCCGAAAGAGGGACCAGTCTGAGGAGCAGAAAGAGGGGTTGAGCAGGGGCGGGACTAGGCCTGCTCCACGTAGATGGGGTGGGGCTGGCAGTGGGTGGGTAGAGATGCGCTGCCAAGGTAGCTTACCTTGCTTCCCCTGCCCCGTGACGAAGGCATCAAATACAACGGAAAGGGTCTGCCTCAGCTCCCAGGAGATGCTGGCACAGCGTGCATCCTACCACGAGGGCCAGAAGGCAGCAGTGAGGACCTGCCACTCCCCGAGCCGCACAGCCCCAGGGACTACTACCCGGACTCAGTCCCTTGTCCATTCTGTACCTCCCCATCCATCAATTTGCTACCATCCACTACCGAGCACTTGCCCTCGTGCCGGCAGCTTTACGCGCATCACTGGGATGAACCATCGCCGACAACCAGAGGAACTGATACTACTATTATTCTCATTTGACAGATGAGAAAACCAGGGAAATAAAATGACTCACTCAAGGTCAAGTCAGCTGGTGAGTGGCTGGGCTAGCAGCTGCACCCACACGGCTATCACTCTTAACCACGACGAAGACTGAGTGAATGCTTGCCAGGCAACCACTCGGTTTCCGTGGTGCATGGCCAGTGCCCTGACTCATCGTCATCACATCTCCCACTGACTACTGGCTCAGCCCTCGGTAGACACTGGGCCATGTGCTTTACCTGCACCTTCTCTCAGAGCCCCTGGATGGCCCCCATCGCCTGTTCCCCGTGACTTACTCTGCAAACAGGGCGGATATGCACTGCCTGGGAGTGGTAGCTCGTGTGAAACAGGCGATCGGCCTTCAGCAGCACAGAGAGGCCTGCCTGGAGGAGGTGGCAAGAGAGAAAACGTCAGTGCCCCACACGGCAGGGCACCCGGGCATGGGGCCGAGGTTATCTGTCAGGCAGTGAGGGGGCATCTGCCGACTGCATCCACTCTCTGGGGCTCCCACCTACATTGAGGCCCCTCTGGCCTCACCTTGGAACTGCAGGGCAAGAGCTTCTTCCACGGGGTGAGGTTCTCAGTGCAGACGACCTCCCGAGGCAGCACCGCATAGCGCAGGAAGGAGTGATCTGTGCCTGAGAGATGGAAGCCTGTCTGGGGAGGTTCTCGGGGCGCCCCTCCTCAGGACCCACACATACTCTCTAGCACCACCGCCCTAACAGTGTCAGCTCAGGGGGAAGCAGGGAGGACACCCTCCTCCCTTTGGGAGAAGGCAATGCGGAGACAGCAGAGTCTCGGGAAACCTTCCTCTGGGGCCTGCACACCCAGGGGATTTATGACCTGGCCCCGCTGAGGAAGAAGGAAGCAGAGGGGAAAGGAGGCAAAGGCTTGGGTAGGAGGAACAGGAAGAAGGAAGGGGCCGCGGAGGCTGTCTCACCATTGGCCAGCCCCAGGGGTTTGAAGGAGGCGCTGGGCGTGACTGTGTTGGTGGAGTCAATGAAGTTGAGAGAGGCGCAGAAGATCCCCGAGAGGACGTTACTGAGCTCCTTCCAGGACTTATCCACACTAAACGGAGACACAAACCCACTCACTGTCCCGGGGCTGCGTCTGCTTCCTCCCTCAAAGCCTGCAGCTGGCTGCCAAGCCATGAGGCCAGCCAGCTGCTGGAGCCGGAACTGCCCCGTTCAGCCTGCTTCCTGGGTCTCCCCAATCAGCCCCTTCTTCCTCACTCCCCTCTGGACACCCCTGCATCCCCAGAGGCCTCTGCTTGGGTGGTTCCTCCTCCCACCTAGTAATGCCCTCCTAACTCCTCCCTGCTTCCCTTCGAAGAGGTTCCCTCCTCCAGGAAGCCTTGCCGCCCTCCTCAACCACAGCCTCCTCCTGGGCTGCTGCAGTTCTGACCATCCGAGCCTCTCACCAGGGTCCTCCTGGGAAATGGCTGGGTGGCAACAGTATCTCGTCCTAAGCATCTTTTCTCCTCAACTAGGCTGTGAGCAACCTGAGGACAGGGAGCAAGTCTGGGTCACCCACGTACCTCCCACAATGCTATGCAAAACGCCCCACACGCCAGAGGCTGAGATCAGCTCACTGATCCAACCTGAGGTGTGCTCAGCTGGGCAAAACGACATACTTCCCTGTGAATACCCTGGGTGAGTCCTGGTTCTACGCTCAGGGGTGGGAAGTCTTCCATCTACAGAGGCTCACTGAGCAAGGGAAAACAAGCATTCTAGGACCCCACAGAAACATCAAATTAAATTAGACTTTTTTCTTAGAGAAATACCAAAACAGATTTGCTCTTTATACTAATAACAGAATAAAACTAGAATTCTGAACATCACCTCCATATTATAGGTAATTATGAGGGGAGACAGTGACAGCAGAGCAGTTGGGACAAAAGGCAAAGAAGCCAGGGTTCAGACAAGAGAGGAAGCCTTGGCTACTGTGGGGTTTGCTCCTCATTTGACATCACCTTAGAGCCGTCCTGGGGGTTTTCAATAGTCCTCTGTTCAGAGCTTTCCAATTGCTCCAATCCTTAGGCCTCAAATAAAGATTGCAAACTGGAAGCCTGAGAGCTCTACCCAAACCATAGCCATGTTTCATTTGACGTGCACAACATTAACCCATGTGGCATTTCTTAAATTTTTTTAATTACTTGCTGATACTTAGACTTGCCAATTTTCACATTAAAATCCAGATTGCTGGTAACTCTTTAAAAATGAGAGTATCTGACGACCCTAGGCCCCTATTCCCACGTGGCAACAATCCATAGGAGCTGAGTGGCAGCTGTCCTCCCGAGCTCTGCCACAGCTCTCATCACTCCCTATTCTGACTCCAGTTTTTTTTTTAATCATACACGTGCTACTGATTTCCCATAGTCGGATTAAGAGGATGCTGTGGTCCAACCGCAGTACCTAACCACCTCCCTCCGCCCCGCAAATAAAAGCAATTTTTCTATTACAGAGATCTGGTGTCTTGTAGGCCAATTCTAGCCCACATATATTTTGTTTGGCCCTTGTGGCATTTTGTTATTATTATGTGAATGAATGTCTTTTAAAAGGCTATCCAGTTTGCCACAGCTTCCTACTGCCTTACATCTAAGTAAGCTTCACATATTTGTTATCTGCCTCTGTAGATATACACATACACTACCTCAGGTCTGGAAGTATTAGGGGAAGGAAGTATATTCGGCCAAGTAAAGAATGCCACTACGTCATAATATTTCTTACTTCCAACGCCATATTTACCCCCATGGAACTGCTGCCCCCAAGGGCAGTAGCAGGAGGACAACACCTGCCCTGCCATGTTCCCACCACAGCCTGCCACAGGCCTCAAGGTGGGCACTCACTCAGTGACGGTGTCTTGGAACCAGGCCCACAGCTCTGCACCTGATGGGGCCTGCAAGAAGGGTGTCCCCCAGTATCGAGTCCTCCAGAAGCCTTGGGTTAAGGACAGGTGCAGCTCCCGTAGAGAATACTTGGAGATCAACTGCCCCAGTGCTTTGGGGAAGAGCCTATAATGAGATACTGGAGAAGGAGGTGCAGGTGAGTGATGATCCTGGAGCGAGGGTTCTCAGCCACCCCAGAGACAATACACCCCAGTTCTGGGGTCAGAGGAATCCAGATTCCTGACCAGACTCAGTCACTTACAAGCGATGTGATCTTGGACAGGTGCCTTACCTCTCTATACCTCCAATTTCTTCCTTGTAACCATTCACAAAACTTATCACCGTGCCCAGCACCCACGATAAACCGTAACCGTCAATAGCATCAACATCAGTGCTGTCAACAGAGGGTTTTAACTAAATGTTTAGAGTGGCAGCCTGGAGCTGCGGAGAGAGCACTGGACTAGAAGTCAGGAAGAGTCACTGCCCCTCTCCGGGGCTCAGTTTCTTCACTGGTATAACGGGATTCTTCAAAAACTATCCAATCCTTCTGCAAGGACCATCTTTGTCAGGCCCCAAGCCCAGGGACCAGAACCTCACCCAGGGATCAGTCCTCGCCCCCAAGGCTAGCCTCCACCCCACTCCCAGCAGGTGCCACAGATATCTTTCTCCAGTCAGTGTCCTCTTCTCACCTTCTTCCCGCTGCAGCTCCGAATCCCAGCGCGTGCGGAACTGGAATGTGGCGGCTACGTCCCCAGAAGGCAGCGGGGTGATGACGAGCTCCTCCCGCAGGCTGTCGCGTGGTGGCTCCGTCTGGCCCCAGACGCCCGGCCCGAGAAGCAGCAGCACCAGCAGAGAAAGCGGCGCTGCCGCCGCCATAGCTGCCGCTGTTTCCGCCTCCCAATGGCCCCGCCCCCGCTAAAGGCCGGCCTCCAATAGGAAGAGCGTCTGAGAAGCGACTTCCGGTGCCGTCCCGGAAGCCGGGGTGCGGCTACCACAGCGACTGCCAGGATAGGCCTTTGAAGGGCTGCTGGGTGTAAAGGGGCGCTGATAGGGCACAAAGGGCAGTGGGTACGTGGCGTGGCTGGGACCTGGATTGAGGACCCCCTTCCGCACGACAAAGTTCTTAATAATACCGACCGCCATTGTGCCTCCGTGATAGTTGAAGAAACAGACTGAAAAATGTTATTACTTTTGCAAGGTCACACTGCCGGGCTCCTGTCTCCCTGAGCTTCGTGTCTCTATTGGCCCTGTCCTAAGCCTAGCCAAGAACTTTACTGCAAAACCCTCAAATAACTCACCCTTTTATTACGAAAAATTTCAAACATACAACAAAGTTGAAAGGATGAATACCTGTTACAATGAACATCTGTATCCCCATCACCTAGATTCCACTATCAACATGTTACTGCACTTGTTTTATCACATATCAGCCTCTATCTCCCCCAATTCATCTTATGTTTTGATGCATTTCAAAGAAATTTCAGACATAAGGACACTTCCCCTTAAATAGTTCAGCATGCATACCATTAACTAGAGTTCCATAGTTGTTTACATTTTTCTTTTGGTGTAAAATTTACAAACAATGAAATGCTCAACTCTGAAGTGCACATTCATTGAGTTCAACAAATGGATACACCTGTGTAACTCTTGTCAAGATATGTTTGGAAAATCCCTGAAAGTTGGCTAATGCCCCTTGCCAGTCAATGTCTGTGACCCCTGCCTTCCAGATGCAACCACTGTTCTGATTTTTCTCCAGAAAATGGATTAATCTGTTCTAGAGCTTCGTATAAATGAAATCATCATATAGTATGTGTACTTTTTTTGTAAAAGGCTTCTTTCATGGGAAGAATGTTTTGGAGAATCATTCATGTTCTTGCATGTATCAGCAGTGTGTGTCTTTTCATTTCTGTGTAGTATTCATACATTGTCTGAATATACCATAGTTTATCTGCTCTCCTGTCCATGTACACCTGAGCTCTTTCAACTTTTTAGTTCTTATGAGCTAGGCTGCTATACAAGTTTATTTGTAGGCATATGCTTACATTTCTTTTAGGTAAATATTTAGGAGTGGTCAAAGAATAGGTATATGTTTAATTTTACAAGAAACTGCTAGATCTTTCTCCAAAACGTGTCATTTCATACTTGTACCAACAATGTATGAGAGTCCCCACTGCTCCACATCCTGGTGAACATTTAATTTGCGGGGCTTTTTCGTTTTTGCCACGTGGGCGTGTTTGTAGTAGTATCTCATTGTGGTTTTAATTTGCATTTCCTTGGTACCTAGTGATGTTGAACAGCTTTTCATGTGCTTCTTGGCCATTCATATCTTTTTTGCGAAAGATCTGTTAAAATCTTTTTCCACCTCTCCCCTTTTGTGCTGACTTGAGTTGTAGGAGTTCCAAGCAATTCCTGCTTTGGTTTTTCCACCTGCCCAATGGGGTACACATTCATGAAGGATTTTGTAGACAGTCTTTTGGTAAAACTGACAACCATCTGGCTCTGAAGAACCAGAGATTTGGTGTCTGCCAGGTCTGCCTAGATATACCCCTGACCAACTGGAGAGGAAGTGTCAAAAAGACGTCTTTGTCTCATTATGCTCTCATTCTACTTACAACCAGTGTTCCTGCCCCACTAGACATGGAATAGAAGGAAGGCCACGAGCTTAGATGTCAGACAGACGTGGGTTCAAATCCCCACACCAGCCTTTAATCCATATGAGCATGAGCAACCGGAGTGCCACTCTTCCTGCTCTGTAAAACGGATAAAGCTGCTTTCAGGGTTGTTGTAAGGATCAGAAATTAGGTACACGTAGAATCTGGAATGTAGTAAGTGCTTAATAGCCTCTACTAACCTTTACTCAAAGAGCTCTATGAGGCAGGCACTATTATCTCCATCTTACAGATGAGTAAACTGAGTACAGAAACTGAGATAATTGCCTAAGATCACAGTGAGTGATGGAGCCAGAACTCGAGTCCACACTATCAACTTCAAAAACAAATTTTTTAAGGGAGTTGCTGTTATGATTACGATTACCGTGTACTTCTATGCTTTGTTTCCTTTTGAAATTGCCTGTCCCCATCACTCAAGACCCAGCCACCCCCAGAGAAGACTTGCCTTCTCCCTCTCTAGTGTGCTACAGCCCACATTATAGTTCCATTATCTGTGGCCATGTCTCTTCCTGGAAGAGCTCTTGGCCACCTTAGTGTTTCTGTTGCGTAAGCAAGGAGGCTAGCACATGGTGGGGGCTCAGTAATGTCTGAATGAACAAACAACAAAACATCATAACACCGTTCCACGTTGTCCCCACACCCCCGTACTGTTCACAGTATCAAGTTCTGTGCACCCCTGGGGACTGCTAAAGCGTGAGCCGTCCTGGGAATCCTCCCCTGAGATGTGGTCCCTCCTATTTCCTCCACAGCACAGGATTCTACAGGAGGAGTCTGTCTTCTTCCCTCCTCTCCAGAGTCTATGACAAGTCTATGCAATGGACAGAAGACACCACACTGTGGCTTGGAGACTGATAGCTGGGCTGCTTGCCTCGGAGTTGGAGCCAAATCATCCCCCATCTCCAAGGGCCCTGTGTGGCCTCAAATAAAACAGTCAGCTGGAGATACTGGCTCTGGCTCTGAAGGCCAGCCAAGCCCCTGTGGTTTGGCAGAAGAAGAGGTCATTGTCCAAACAGGAAGTGGTCCTGGGGTCTCAGCTGACCCTAGATTTTCCCAGGCAGGGCTGGGGCTCATAGCAGCTGAACTGGAGGCTCCCCGTAGGCTCACAAACAATTCCACCTCTCCAGAGGGCTGCAGATCCCTCTCCCCGGACAGGCTCCCTGCCCCAGACCCCACAGATCTTAGCATTGTGTGCCTGGGGTTGTTGACATGTTGACAGCAACCAAGCTAGGCTAGCTTCCCATCATTCACCTTGGAGGAGAATGGGGAGATCCCAGGAGCTGAGAAGCCCTCAGAGCTGAGCTGTGGATATTATGGGGTGCACCCCAGGAGAAGGCTCAGCCGCAGTCAGACAGGAGGCTGAGCCTCGCTACTCCAAAGGAAGGGACAAAGAACAAGAGGACAGAGACCATGTCTTCTGTGTGCAGCAAAGTCATCGGCAACCCAGAAAAACCACAAAATTTAACATGAGGCTGGGCCCTGGCCCAGCTTAGTGGATGATCGCAACTTGGACACAGACACTTTTAGACAACAGGAACACAGAACTCCCACAAGTTTTTCAGTAGCGCTAGGAAAAGCACTTAAGAACTGTCACTTACAATGGCCTCCTACAGGGGTGGAAGCAAAATGGGGCTATTGGGAAGACTGCACCCCTGTCACTCAGCCTGGATGGTACAAAGAGCTTTGGGATTTAGGCCGAAGGTCACTGACTCCATGGATGGTTTGATGTATGAAGGGAGGTGGAATGATTTATTTTTTCTAATATGAAAAATGACTTGATGTTCCTTAAGGCTAGGTCCTATAACCCTCCTTTTATTCCAGTCTCTCCCTGGGCAAGCTCACTTGCACCCATTCCTAAACTTACCTCCTATGCACTGATAACCCACCTACTGATTTTCCAGCCCAATCCTCTGATCTAAATTCCACTCTCATGGGTCCAAGTGCCTACTCAAAATGTCCTCTTGGTCTCAAAAGCAACTCGAACTCAACATGTCCAAAACCCAATTTATGGCCGCTTCCCCAAACCTAGTGCTCTCCTAAACTCCCCATCTGGATGAAGAACCCTCCAAATTATCCTGCTGCACAGGGCAGAAGCAAGGATGGCACCCCTGAGCCCTTCCTCTCTCACACCCACCTATGAAAATAGTTTGAAATTTGCCTCCCCAATATCTCTCCATTCCTTCCGCTTTTCTACAACCACCCCACCTCCACCCTATTCCATTTTTACCTAGGTGGCTACAATCATCTCCTGGCTTCCAGGCATCCATTCTGGTCCCCTCCAATCAGTACATCTCTACCAGGAGTCCTTGCACCCATTCTCCCCCTAAACTACTCCTACTCCACTTTCAGATCTCAGCTCAAAACCACTTCCTCCAGGCAAACACCCCTTGACCTTTCTTAATAGGCTATTACCTCCTTCCTAGCACTAGTCCTGGTTGCAGTTTTACATTTGGGTCCCCAATAGACCCTGAACTCTTTTTTTGTGCCACTACCACATTCCCAAGGCCAAGCTCAGTATCTTACACATGTTAACACTGACATTTAATATTGTTGAATGAATGTCATTTATTTGCTCATGCCCTGCCTCAACCCAGTTAAGCTAATCATCACCACTACCTTCTAGGCCACCGTTGTCTCTTGCCTGGATTACTGTGTTACGTCTGTCTGGAGCCTGTCCTCTTCCAGTATGTTCTCTACACTGCAGCCAGAATTATCTTTTTAGGAAGCAACATCAACCGCTTGTAATCCTTCATTACTCCCAATAAAGTTCAAAGTCGTAACGTGTAAACTGCTAGTTATCTACCCAATGACTGCTGTCCCCTTGTTTCTCAGTTACATAACCCTGATTTTATCAAGACAGCAGGGTGTCCTACCAAAGGACTACCCCAGCCTCTGCAGTAGCCAGGGTGCTTCTGAGAGGTCTGACAGGAAGTATAGGAATCAGACGCATTGGTAATTGAAACTTGAAGGGTTATTGTCTTTCCAAACGCCAGAATTTCCTTTCTTCTAGATAATGTTGTGTCCCTAAGTCTATAAAACATCTGTAAATGAAACATCCCTCAGGTTACCAAGTGCTGGCCAATGAGATGTAAGTGGACGCCATTGGTTAGGACTTCCAGAAATGCTTGTCGAGGTGGGACTTGGCAGCAGGCCGGGCCTTTTTTGCCCATCCTTAATCTCTTCTCCTTCTTTCTACCAGCTTCAGAGACATGATGGCTGGGGCCTCAACAGCCATTTCAGCCATGAGGTATCAATGAGAATTCCAGCCATGGGCCTTAGATGGCTGCGCAAAAAGAGCCAAGAAGGACCCTGGTGTCCAATAACCGTGGAGCGACCACATCGCCCTGTGCTTTGGACTTCCTTTACATGAAGAAACCAGGTTTATACCTTAAGTCACTGATATTTTACTAGCAAACTGAAACTTGATACAGGCTTCAAAGCGTTTCACGACCTGACCTTTGTCAATCTTGCCTCTCCCTTCATCTGCTCAAATTCAACAATTCAGTCAAGCTGAATGTTTTTCAGTTCCTCGGGACTTTTCTCTCCATTTAAAGTCTTTCCAAGCTGCTCTTTCTGCCTGGGTTACAGCCCCACCTGGCTAACTCCTCCTCATCCTCGGCAACCCAGCTTAAAAGTCACCTCTTCAACGACCATAAAAACCAGGTTAAGATGCCCATTTTCTGGTAACAGAACAGTTCCTCGGCATGCTACTTATTACGCTGCGAACTGTGGTGTTGACTTGATTTTCTCCTCCATGAAGGCAGGCAGCCTGTCTTGTTCAAAACTGTATTCCAAATCTGCAGCTAATTCCAAATAAAGACTTGAATACATGGAGTAAATGAGTCATGGGAATATGGTATTGGTTAGAGAGCTAAAGAAATGTATTGGGTTTGATATCTGTACAATGTGAACAGATGAAGTGGAATGGTTGGCATATTATTATCTGTTTATTATTTTCAGTATGTTCATAATATTCATACCGTGAATATGAATATGAATCATATGAATAATATTCATACCGTGCCCTGTTCCGAAAAGGATGTAAGGAAGCAGGATGGCTGGAGTACCATCTCACTGGGAGTGTTAAGGAGTTCACGTCCATTTAGAGACACTGGTTTAGGAGACGCTATCAGGAGACTGCAGGATAGTTTGGAGGAGGGAAGAGTGCTAAGAAAGGCAGTGGCATCTTGTCCTATCTCATCTTCCATCTCCTCACTTGCAGGCCCTACCTCAGGAGTAAGCCAAAACCTGGCAGGGAGGTTGCAGCAGGGAAAGGTTAGCAGTAAAGCAGGAGCGGGTTAATTCCCAGAAAGGTACACCACCCACCGTCCTTTCCCCCCTCTGGTGCCTACTGCAGGTAAAGAGTCTGGTCTTCTCTGAAGCGCTCTGGCTGGGCCTGCGGTCTCAAGTGGAGAATAGGCAGCTCAATCAGTCTGTAGGTGGGGGCCCACTGCTAGCTGCAGGCTCCAGGCTCTGCCCCGCCATCTCCCCCATCCTCCTCCTCGTCAGACTGTGCCAAGGGCGTGTCTGCTCCGCCATCACTGACATCCGGGCTGTGCGGATTGGTGGAGGGGTCAGAGGACGAGGAGAAAGTGCGGGATGTGGTCCTGTCTGCCGTGGGCATTGGCAGGCTCGGCTCCTCGGGACGGTCGTCCACCCCTGCCCAGAGAGAAGAGCCCGTCAGGGCCACGAACAGGGCTTCAGAGGACTCTTAGAGGCGCTCTGGCCAGGAGACACTGAGGCCCAGAGGGGAGCAGGGACTTGACCAGTCACCCGGCCAGGCTCCTGACTCCCAGTTCCTTCCACTTCACCGCACCACATCTGGGATCTAGAGTCTGGTCAATCAAGTCAAGAGTTCAAATTCTACCTACGTCACTTCCTTGCTACTGAGTAGTTTTGGGCAAGTCACTTACTTTCCCTCTCAAGGACTCTGCCCCTCCTCCGTAATAAAGGGACCCCGACATTCCAGAGGGTTTTGAGGATGATGAAATCTGAGAATGCTCATAAACTGTCTGGCACATAGACCACCAATAAATAGCAGGTTTTCTTTTTTGTTTTGTTTTTGTTGTTTTTGTTTTGTTTGCGGTACGCGGGCCTCTCCCTGCTGTGGCCTCTCCCGTCGCGGAGCACAGGCTCCGGACGCGCAGGCTCAGCGGCCATGGCTCACGGGCCCAGCCGC